AGTTAATACTATTTCCATGATGTGAATAAACACACCGTAGTATTTTAGTGATAGAACACAGCTCTGCAATGAGAAGTCAGCGGTCTGAATAACCCCTCATCTCAACTGATTTGCTTGGGGTGACTTTTCTGAGCCTTTGCCTCCCTGTCAGGGACTGATAATTCCTGCCCTTCTGTGTCCCAGATCTTTGTGCGGAGCAAACAGTAAGATAAGTAAGTACTCTGTTCTAAGGATGAGAGATAATAAATTGCTATCTGTTTGGTAAATTTGCAGGGTTCTTTTAAAGCAGGACCACAGCATAGCCCTGCTCCTTTCTCTGGTTCTTTGGGGTGAATTAGCTCCTGCTGGAGCGTCTGGACACTGGTAACACACAAGCCCCCCCCAGCCCCCGGGTGTGAATTGGATCCGAAGGGGAGAGGCAGAGGGAGATTCTTATCTGGGGAGGGCAGGGAACAACCTTTGTGCTTAAGGGCAGAGGCCACGGGGGATGAAACAGAGTTTGATTTGTGTAATCCAACCATGTCAGACACCACAGCTAGCTTTAAAAAAAAAAAAAGACCTTTTACTAGTTGGGCCTCTCCCCAAGCGAGAGGCTGATACTATCACATCAAGTACATCCTTAGACCTGGCCAGACATCGGTCATTCCTGGCCTCAGACAAGGAGGTTATCTTGCAAGGCTAACTTTTCTGTATTCGGTCCAGCGTGTACTTATTGAGTACCTACTGCGTGTCCCTAAGAGTTCCCTGCTACTCAATATAAACCCCCATTCGGTCACAGTGCCTCGCACACAGTGGGGGTGACTGGAACGCTTATCGTCTGACTGCCTGCGTACCCTGACCGCAGCAAGAAAGTGGGACTGCGTCAGAGAAAAAACCTTAGGCCCCTAACGCCTGGTTGTGCTCTCTTAACTGAAGAAAAGATCCTTTACCCATCAGGTTTGAACTCCTTCCTTCCTTTGGGCCTTCATCTCTGTTCTTTACCTCTGCACCATGGTCCTATCCTCTAGATTCCGAATCTCAGGGCTTTTGGTGTAAGCTCAAATTCCCACAGCTTCCCAGGCCCTGGAGCCCAGCCCCCTAGTCCTGAGGGCACCCTGGCTGTGCGTGTGGGAACGCCCACTCTGCAGGTTCCCTGTTCCTTGCAGGACGCTCCAGCCGAGTCTGAGAGAGCTGGGCCTGGCTCCAGGGTCTGCACTCATTGATCTGAGATTGTGCGCCGGGTGCTGTGCCAAGTCCCGAGAGTCAGAGGCCAAGCACACTCCTTCCTGGTTCCCTCTCTCTCCTCCCCTTCTCCACGCCCTCTTCTGGAAGGATCCATGTTCTCTGGTGTTCTGGTGTCTTTGTGTGCTTCATCCTGTTGGGTGAATGTTCATTTCCTTCCTTCTTACTGTTTCTCACTGGCCTCTCTTCAAGTCCTTTTTCTTTCCTTTCTAGTCAGGGCCCTTTGTTTAATTTTTTTTAAAATATTTTTTGTTGCTCCTCAAAATCAGGGTATTCTTTGATTCTCTCGATATGAGGCAGCTTGGTTTCCCTTCAGAAAAGGGCCTTGTGGGGGCTGCCCTGTGCAGGAGAAGGCCAAGTGGAATATGTCTGGCATCTGCTCATGCCTAGAGGAAGGGCTGCTGGGGCTGTAGGCGGCTTCCCAGGCCTGCTCTTGCTGGTCTCAGCGCTGCTGCAGCCGCCAACTTAACTCTGTACGAGGGCGCCTGTTCTCCAGGCCCACCCAGACCCTCCACCCAGCTAACCGGGTTCAGTTGTTGGAGCTCTGAGTTGTGATCTTGAAGCTAATTGTGGATGACACACTCCGAATCGCCAAACCTTAGGGGTGGAAAGCACCTCCACAGTTTCCAAAAGCCTGTCTGTGGCCTGGCTGCTGTGGAAGCACCTGGGCCGCTTTACCTCTGACTTGGCCAAGGCGTTACTCTGGTGGGAAGAGGTTGAAAGAGAGTGAAGAAAACATCAAATCAAGGCGTGTTTTATTCTAGGTTGTAGGATCATGAGTGATTTTAATTTCTCCTCTGTAATTTCTTGTATTTTCCAATTTTCCTGCCGTTAACATGTTTACTCTTATGACTAAAATATACAATAAATGTTACTTCTGATTAAAAAAAAATATCACCCAGGAGCTTGTTCAATATACAAATTCCTGGGTCCCCTCCCTAGAGGTTCTGACCCAGTGGGTCTGGGTGAGACCTGGGGACTGTGTATTTACAGCAGCACCTCCATGGATTCTGTGACACAGTCAGGGAATCCTGCATTTCGCTTGCAAGGAGAGTGAGGATTCAGACAGGCTGGTGGGAGTCCCCAGCCTACAGCCAGGTCCTCTTATTCCTGGCCCAGAGCCTTCCCTGCCAATTCATGGTCCCTGAGGTCTGTCCCAGGCAGCTGCACAAACCCCAGACCCTTCCAGAGGGTGGCCCTGCCCCGGCCCCCAGGTGCCTAGCCCTGCCTGTGTTTCCCTGTGAGACATCATCCTTCCCGTCTGATGGCACCGTCTGGCTCACAGCTGTTTCTGGGTCCCCAGCACCCCCAGTGATGGGAGTGAGGGTGCTGCCTTACTTTATTCCCAGAGACCTAGGCTCAGGAAGTTACCCCAGGGAGCAGGGAGCCTCCGTTAGGGGAATTTGGGGAGAAACTGAGGCATACAGAGATGGGGTTTGGCCAGCCCCAAATCATAGAATTGTGATCTCCCTTCCCTGGAAGTTGTACTGTTTTGAGGTGAGTTAGAGAAGGGGACGAGGGTGCCAGAATGGGTGTAAAGAAAGGTGTGTGTGGTGGCACTCAGAGGCTTAGTTAAGGACATTGCTCAGGGGTCAAAGGTGGTTTGGATTTAGCCCTGTTCCTGGCACTTACCAAGCTGTGTGGCCAAGTTACCTCTTTCCCTGATCCCCTCTGTGAAATGAGCGTGATAAGATAATACCTCCCTCACAGGATTTTTGGGAGGGCCAAAGGAGTTTCATGTGCAGGGTATATAAAGCGGTGCTTCTAATACTGTAATGTGTCTCTGAGTCACCCGGAGATCTTGTTAGAGGTTCACATTCTGATTCAGTAGATCTGCATTTCAGATCTAATCAGCTCTCCCAGACAGTGCTGAAGCTGCTAGTCCGCAGACCACACTCAGAGAGGGAAAGATGGGAAACACTCAAAACAGCCCTACGCACCTAATGTTACTGTTATTGTTATGATCATGGCTGTTATTGTTCCTTGGCCTTTTCTAACCGGCACCTGAGGAGACCGGGAATTCCAGCCGACTGGCCTCTCCAGGGACCAGTCGTTTTCCTGGAATCTCCTCCTGTTCCACCACATGACCTTTGCACCTGTCCTGGGCAGCAGCTGGGGTGGGGAAGGGGAGGGTGCTCTGCCCAGCTGCTGCAGGCCCGAGTCTTCAGGTTTGCAGCCGATTCCATTTTCACGCTGCTTTACAGTAACCAGATTTTGTTAAGCCGGGTGTGTTTCCTCTTTTTACTCATCTGTGTTTACAAAACACAAGGAAGCCCTCAGTCTCCCCAGCCGAGTCCGCCAGGCCTCCTCTGTGGCATAGCCCCATTTCCCTGCCCCTCCCAGCAGTAGCTGTGCCTTCACCTTTCTGGGTTTTCCAGTCTCTCTTCCACAGGGGAGAGAAGAATACTATCACCACAGGCGTGGGGCATTCCCTTCTGGGTTGGCGGGCTCTGAGGTCAGCCTGAGCTGGCGCCTCCTCTCTTACCTCTCTGTGGCCTAAGGCAGAGTGAAAGGGGGCCCTACAACCTGCATGCTGGTCCGGTGCCAAGTACTTGCGAAGCTCTGGGTGTCGGGAGACCTGGACTCACTTTCCAGTTCTGTCCTCATCCTGTCTGACTGGGGGTCTCCTGGTAGTGGCCAGGGCAGTTGTTAAAGACAGTCCAAGACAGGGCTCCAGCCCCACGCCCTCCCCTGCCCCGCCCCTTGACACAAACACGCTTGCTGCCTGGACCCGTGCAGTACCCCTGTACTGGTTTCTCTCTGCACACTAAGTTTTTATCTCCCTGTCCACTGCGAACCCTGTGGAGAGGGCCCCAGCCCCAGTCTTCCTGCCCTGGTAGACAAAGAGAGAACAAAGACCGCTTCTTCCAGCACCCCTCAGTGCCCTCCTGGCCTCTTCTGGCCTGAGGGAAATGGTACCTGTGTGGGTGGGGCACCAGCCACAACCCTCTGAGTCGATGACCCCTGACCTTTGCCCCCAGCTTCCCGGCCTGACAGTAGGACCTGGGATAACCTCCAGAGAGTAGTGTGCATTCTTTGTTTTTGTTTTGTTTTCAAGTATGTTCTTGCTTAACGTTTAATTGGCTCCAGTCAGTAGGAAAGAGCTCCAAGAGGGGTTATTTATGGCTTACTGTCAAGAGCAGCTATAAAAAGGGCAGCGCTGAGCCGGAGATGCTGGGAAGGGAGAGAGGGCGGGCGCACAAGTGTGTGTGTGTGTATGTCTGTCTGTGTGCGTGTTTGCACTGGATGAAATCAGATTTTTGCTGCCTCAGCAGTGTGGTTTAAATTGAAGATTAACCCTTTGACCTTCACAGTGTCAAATCACTTGCAGATGGAGGCGCCCCCCTTCTCCCCCTTGTTCTCTGTGTTACTATGGAGTGGGGGGAGGGAGGAGGGCACTTCTCTTTCTTTCTGAAGAAAGTTTGTTGTTCGTGCAGCTGAGGTTTGAGGGGCTCAGAAGCCAATCTGATTAAAAGCAGCACTTGGCTAAACTCTGGAAAATCCTGCAAGCAGGGGAAAAAGTTTAATCCTCTTGTGCACGGTACATAAAGAGCTTGGGCTTGTCTTTTTAATGTTAAAGCTGCAATTGTTTTCAGAGAACTCAACTATCTATCTCCCCCTGGTCGCCACTTCTCTTGCCCCCCCCCCACCAAGTTTGTCGTACTGATAGGGTTAAAGTGCCCCCCCAGACCTGCTGGTCCACACCTTCTTCGTTGGAGATGATAAGGAGTCATCTGAGGCTGCGTTCAGGAGTCATGCTGATTTTTTTTCCCTTTCAGCACCAGCAGAACCGAAATCGCATGTGGTGGCAGATCCTCCTCTTCCTGCACAACCTGGCCTTGAATGGAGAGGAGAACAGGGACGGGGCGGGTCCCAGGTGAGGCTGGGCTGCCTCTTGGAATGGGGCACCACTGAAGGACATCGGCGAGGACTGACGCTATGTCTTGTGAAGTTGTTTTTATCTTTAAAAATTTATCTCTGTGTGTACATAGGACATACCCAAGTGGGGCCTTTTTCCCTGTTCAGGACCTTCACCAGGAGTAGGGGCCTTTGTCAAACACTGTTGAAGTGGAGGCTGATGGGGCTCCGATGGGGGTCCTCCCAAGAGCTCTGACCGCAGACCCTTCAGTCAGAAGCCGTTGAAGATGGCCGGGCAGCGACACGTTCTGATGACTGGACTGGGGTTCACCCATAGGAACGCAGTTAAGCAACAGGAGACCGGAATTTCACTCCTGGTTCCACCAAACCTGTCAGCCTTCCACCATGGACGGGGCTGAGATCTGAACAGTTGCATGGCATTAACCCGCCAGGGCCTAGGCCAGGGGCTTTCCAGCTGAGCATGGCGACCTCACTGGGCCAGTCCACCTGTATCTGGGTTCTCATGTGGCCCCGCCAGTGCCCGCCTCAAGGGATCAGGGATTCTTGCCCAGCCCCTGTCACCTCCAGCAGACCTCAGGGAGGGCTGGGTTTCTCCAAGGACCCCTCAGACACGCCGCAGAATGAACCAAACTTTTCCACAGGCCTCAAATCTGACTTGGTCCCACTTGGAAGCCCCAGGATTGGTCCTGAGGTACAGAACCACTGCCACCTCTGGCTTCCTGGAACTGGCTGGGCGTCAGCCATGGATGAGCCAAATAGCCAGTCAGCGTGCTGTCATCAGCAACTTGTGCCTTTGTCAGCTCTTCTTTCCAAAGATCCAGCAACAGCCTGCGTTCCACCCCCAGGATCAGCAGCCTAGGGCTGCAATGGGACTGGGAGATGTGGCCATCCCACCTGGAAGAGTTGGCCCTAGAGGAACCCAGAGCCCTTGGTTTCCTTGGAAACTACATACCTCCTCCTCCTTATCCCCATTCCTTTTTCACATCCAGTAAGACACAGGAAGAAGCCAGCACAGTGACTTTATCAGCCGAATTGTGTCTTTTAGAGCAACAGATAACGATGAGAGCGCAGACCCATCAAAGCTGGGTACCACGTTGCCTGTCTTCCCTCGGTTTCCAGCTAGGCCAGAAGGACCTGCTCTGGAACACAGCAGGATCACAGCTGCCTCTGAACTTGCCCTCTCTCCCTGCTGTGGTGCTAATGGAGAGAGTTTAGAGCAGCCAGCCTGACAGCTCTGACAGCAGCAGACACGGTATCTGAAAGAACAGGACCTGCTAATCAGACACCTAGAAATGAACTGAATTTTTGCATATGTAAGAAAAGATATCATTGGTGCTAAACAGGGAAGCAGGCCCAACGAAAAGGTGGTTTTCCTGGGCAGAGAAGACCCCGGCTACCCAAGGAAACAGGAGCAGTCCAGAGCAGACTCTCAGGTCTGCAGTGCTGTTGAAGGCAGAAGTGTTGATCTTCTGGATGTCAGGCAAGTTCACTGCACAAGGGCACCTGCAGAAGAAGATACTAGGGGCTAAAACCCAGCCTGTGCTCTGCTCACTAAGTTGTCTTCCCTTGTATAGGGCTATGTCTGCCCAGAAAAACCGGTACCTCTCCTAATTTGTATGAAGGTGCCATATGGGCTCTCAGTGGCCCTGAGGAGAAGGACCTCAGACTGCAAAGGCCTTTGCTTTATTCCACTTAGATGTTCTGGAGGTATTACCTCTTCTTGGCCAGAACTATATTCTCAGGGTGTGTACCATGGTTTGTCTGCTAAGACGAGTTCTTGCTGAGAAGGAGCCCAGAGAGCAGGCGTGTCTCCAGGCCATTTGGGATGTGCAGAGGACATGCGGTGTTTTCCCCTCTCCCGGACCGAGGCTGGGACAGGCAGGCTGCTGGTATATGCTTGACTGGAACACACAAGAAAGCCAGGATTGTTCTACCAACCATTTTTAACCCCTCTTGGCAGACTTCCCACCTGAGCTGAATGAGAGAGCAAATAAATGGCCGATACTTTGGTGCTGAGGCAACGCCACCCACTTCAGGGACCCCGCCAGGCCCAGGAGGGCCTGTGCTGAGAACTGAGCCCCGAGTTGGACAAGCCCATCTGAACGCTGAGCCTGGGGCCGGGTGGAGGATGGTCTGACTGCACCGTCTCCATCTTCTGTGAAGCCAAGTACTAACTCAACTATCCTAAGCAAGCCAGGGCGAATCTAAACCCTCCCCTCTTTCCCCTCCCCCAGAAAACCCAGGAGGTAACTCACAGAAGCAGAATAGCCCCAGGAGGAAGAGGTTCCTCCTGGCTGCTGAGTTTAATTGGTCCGGTGATCTAGACCCGGGGCCCCTTCCCCCTCTGCCTGGTGAGTTGGTCTGAACATTCCTCAAGTCCAGCCTCAGGAGACTTGCCCTTCCCCCTGGGCCCCCTCTTCCCACCCCCCACCCCCAGAGGCTTGGCTGTCTCCAGTGAGGGGGTGGAGAATCAGATTTAGAGGGAGGGAGAGTCTGACCTGGGTCCTGACCTGTAACCAGCTGAAGACTTGCGGAGTTTTTGTGGTTTGCTGACAGTTGGGGGTGGGAGAGAGACTGGAAACCAACCTCCCTCCTGGTTGTAGACGTGCCCTGGAGGAAGGGAAGCCTGCTATTCAGGGTTAAAACAGCCCTTCCAATTTAGAACCCCAGAGCAGGGGTTTCTGGAAGCCTGTGGACAGAACTGGGGAGGGAAGCCCCCAGGCCAGACGTTTTGTTCTTCCCCAGCCAGTTCGAGGCTTGGCCTGGCCTCCTGCTTTGCCTGCTTCAAAGTCTAGGCTGCTGGAGAGCTGTCCCCTTGGCCTTCTCTTGCTCAATCTGAGGCAGAAAAAGATCACCTCCCAGTGACCCCCGAACCCCCTAGGGGAGTAGGTCTGTTTCCAGAGCTTATGCGGCAGGCATGTGTGGGGTGTCTGAGGGGCCCAGCTGTCTTGTCTCACTGTCCCCATTGGCCAAGCCCTGTCCAAGGGTGGCTTCCGACTGGGCATGGCAGGGAGTGTGTTGATTGGGATGATGCATCTAGGGCCTCCATCTGGCTGAAGTCTTCTGGGAAGGAGGCTGGACCTAGTCAACAAGGAGTGCACTGGCCCAGGAACGCTTATCGTTGGGGGCGGACTTGATGATGAGGGGTGGGGAGAAGAGAGCAGCAGAAGCAGGAAGACTTAAATTGCCACTGCTCTCAGGGCTTCTGTGAGTCATCGCTGCAGCCCCAGCTGGAGGAAGCTGAGGGACCCTCTGTGTGCAGGGAGGGACCCTTGGTGGCAGGCCACCTAGGCCAGAATTGTCCCAGGCAAGGATTAACTTACCAGCCTGTGAACCTCCTGGGGACACTGGGCAGTGAGCAGGCAGGCCCCTCGGGGCTAGTGAGGACTCAGAGCGGTGAGGGGGACTGGCAGGGGACACCCAGCGCTTCCAGAGATGTGCAGCTGAAGGTGCTCGGAGCCTGTGCAGGCTCCCAGGTTCACACGGCCCCTCTCTCTGCACAGGTGGCCAGTGCCTCTCTCCCCACTCTGTGAGCACCGCCCAGTGGGGCCCCATCCCTGGGTCCGCAGGGCTGCCAGGGGAGACCCAGTGAGAATGTAGCATTTTGTCCAGCTGGACAGTTTGTCCAGTTTCCCTCGGTTCTAGGCACTCTGCCTGTGGGACAGCAACAGGGAAAGAGGGAGGGGAATATAGGGATCCATTGTTTTTTAACCTGTACAGAGTATTTGGCTTTTTGTTCTTCACATGCATGTGTGCATGTATGTGTGTGTGTCTTCCCTTCATCAATTGGTACAGTTTTTAATAAAACCATTTAAAGCAAAGCCGCTCTGTTTCAAGGTGTGGTAACAATGCAAGGGGACCCGTTAGGGGATTTGAGACTCCTGCCTTGTGTCTCAGCTGCAGTCCTGAGCTGCCCCTGGGGCTCCCGGCTTGTTGGGACTTCCCTTCTGCTGCTGGAGCGGAGAAGAGCCTTCTGACCACGCAGTGAGCAGCACAGCAGAGGCCCTGTGAGGTGGAAAGACATGGGCCTTGAATCGGACCAGATTCAGCCTCCACCAGCTGAATGATCTTAGGCAAGTTATGTAACCTCTGAGCTGTCACTTCTACCATATGTAAAACACAGCTGTACTGGCCTTGAGGGACCAGAGGGAATGTGTGCAAAGGACCTGCCCGTACCCCACTATCCTACCCCTGTCAAGCTGGGGCATTTTAGGAGGTAGGCTAGTTGTAGGGGAACTTCCTGGCTTGCATTTCTTTGTGGATTAACAATGTGTCTGACTCAAGAGGGTAATTTAAAGCTCTTGACAGAGTTCTCAAAATCCTTGGGGAAAACCACCCCTGGTCCTGTCAGCAGTAAGCTGAGAGCCAAAGGGCCAAGCCGCTGTGCCTGTGACTTGGGAAGCCGTTGGCTCTCTGAGGACCAGCTTTGGACTCCAGTGCCTGCCCTCATAGACAGTGGGGGCTTGAAGGGACACTGCACCGTCTTGCCTAACCTCTGTGTTGTATGAGGGGGTAAACTGAGGCCCAGAAAAGGGATGCAGTTTTCTATTGGGCATTTTAAATAGCTGAGTCAGTCTGGGGTGGGGGGGCTAGCCCATGCCTCTGGGTTTCCACTTGGAAATTTGCGGTGCCGTTGCCCAGATCGGCAGGGAAGCCAAAAACTTGTCTATTTTTAATGCCAAATAACTGCCTCTTCTCCTGTAAAACATGGCACTTCTAACCACTCTATATTTGGACAGAGAGGTTTATTTTTACTGGAGTGTGGTAGGAGTGCAGCCTGGTGCCACGTCCGGATGTTATTCTACATTTCACGTGCTGGATTGTAGTTGAGCCCATTAGCAGCTCCTATGAGGTACGCAGGGAATTAGTAGGTGATTGGTGATGTACTGTCTTTCTTTCAAGTCGAGTCATCTGCTCCTACTTTGGGCAAGGCTGTGTTCGGGCAGCCCAGACTGGAAACCTGAGAGCTCACCCTGTCCCACCCTGACCCTCCCTTTCTGTGATCCCTCCCCAGGGAGTCCGGTGAGAAGTTAAAGGCGCAGCTGCCCAGGTTTGAGCCCAGGCTCCGCTGCCTACCAGCCGAAGGGCA